CCCCCCCCCACTTGTTGGTGCGCGCGCTCTCTCTCTCTCTCAAACAATAATAAAGTCTCATTTAAAAGAGAAGAATACAAATTAGTAGTTTTGTGGTGATTTTATAAGTACCAACGGCTTGAAATGTCGACATTTACTGCCACCTGCAGGCTATATTTCATAATGTACATAATTCCAATAAAATGCCGTATGTAAAATACTATTCTTCCCCCTGCTCTTTCTCACTTGCTGGCAGTGTATCCTGTTTATAAGAAACTGGGTGATTGCCCATTGTTCTCTAAAGCTTGTGGTACTCAATAATATTTAGGAGTTCCCAAAATGAAACCTCTCGTGTAGCCTTTTTCTCCCTTTGAATAGGAATTTAGTTAATAAAAATGAAATATAGTGACTTTTATGAATAGGGCCTATGTAAATAAGGAAAGTAATATGAAATAAAAGGTTCTGGAGCCAAATCTATACTTGAGAATATGTGTTTCCTTGAGAACCAAATGTGACCTTGGGGAGCAGATGGCCTTATTGTGGACCCCTCGGACCCCATAACTGAGCTGTGATGTGTCAACAGAGTAGACGTGGTGAATTTGAGCAAGTTTCATGTTTTTTTACTGCCTGGTCAGGGACTACTTTTAGGAATTTGATTCTACATGATTTGAGAGATTATTTTTCCACACTTAGCTTTCGATTTTTCTCTCATTTTAATGAGAAATTCAGTAATCGAAGCAAGCTTTCCTAAACCTCCAGACCAGTATTAGGTCAGAAACTTCCATGAATTTGAGGTTTTGGCGCCTGTCACGGAAACCCAGCTGTTTCCGAAGTCACCTGGGCTGTTTAGCGGTAGATTGCACACATGCAGGTACGTGCTCCTTCACCTCATTGCGTGCAAAATAAAGCTCATCTGTAGATTGACATTGCTGTTAAGAGTCCTTCGGGATTTTAAGGATGAGCTTGTATTAATAGTAAGTAGCTTGAGGGAATATAATTGAATTTAAAATTACGGAGTGCTCTATTGATTGATTCTGTGGCCTTACTTTCTTTCCTCTCTGCACATGTTGGGTTGTTAAACTCTGTCTCCCATCCTTATCCCGTTGAGGTGTGAAATTCACCATCCCCCTTTTGATTCTTCTTTGAGTGTCGAACAAAGCTCCTGAAGAATAGTTGCCTAGAGGCGTAGTTTTCTGCAGAATGAATGAATATATATGTACGCGTTTATTGAGGGCTCTTGATGGCAGAGAACATAAGACCCCTGCTTGCATGGAGGAATATGTGACCTGCTGGGTGGTGAGAAGCATTTTGAAGAAAGGGTCTGGAAGGCCTTCTCCGAGGAGAGGCGTTTGAGCAGACACCCGGACGGAGTAAGGACGTGAGCCATGAGGCTACCGCAGGGAAGACCAGCCCAGGCAGAGGAAACGACAAGCCAAATAGGAGAACTCGAAAGAGGAGGGTGTCTGCACATACGGTGGGATAAAACAGAAACAGAAACAAAAAAGAACTGTGTAGGCTAAAGCTACATGCAGCTGAAACAATCGATGTACACGTCGAGAACACTGCAAGGAAACTGAAATTGTAAGGTACTGGTACCCTTAATTAACCAGCCCCTTCCCTCTCCCCTGTCTCTCCCCTGTCTCTCCCTCTCTCCCCTCTTCTCATTTCAGTGAAATTGGAGCGCTTTGAAATTCCAATCAAGGTTCGCCTAAGTCCAGAGCCATGGACGCCTGAAACCGGTTTGGTCACTGATGCTTTCAAACTAAAGAGGAAGGAGCTGAAGAACCATTACCTCAAAGACATTGAGCGAATGTACGGGGGCAAATAGGATGCAGGAGGCGGCCTGGGGGGTTTTCAGTTCTAGAGTTTTAAGCCTTGTTGAGCTGTTAGAATGTAAGAGGCATATCATGCTAAAGACACGGTAATTAAAAAAACAAAAAACAAAAAACCAAAAGTGATTAAAATCGTCGTGGAGTCTACTTTAACTTAGTTTTGCCTAGTTCTCTGTGCCGCTGAAATTGAAAAGTTGTTTCCCTTTAGCTGTGTTATTCATTTTAGAGCAAAAATTCCATTTTTAAAAAGTAGCCTAGGATACACTTGTTTTCCTAAAGGAGAATATTTAATGTGGAAGAAAATAAATTGGAGTTGGAGTAGAATGTAGTTTGCGACAGTTTGCATCTTCCAATGTCTATTGTCTTCCTAGTTCAGAAGAAGCTTAAAATATTAAGCATGACAAAAAAGATATGTATTAACACTACTCAAAGCAGAAGTTCTGCAGGGCTTTAAAATTCTCTTCCAACCATTTATCTGGAAGGCAAAATTCAATCATAATATAATAGAATCAAATAGTAGTACCTTGGAAACCATTTTAGGATTCATAATTGTCGGCGTAGCTTAGACATACAATCATTGTAATATTGTGAATAATTACAGTGCCCGAAGTCTGAATAACAACAACGTTAAACACACCAAAAATATTTAGTAATATATTTTTAAAGGGAAATTGAACTGCAAGCACCAAAACTTGGAGGTCTTAAAATCAGTAACTAATTATTTGAATGATTAAGGGTAAAGTACATTTTAAAGACTGCCAAAAATTGTCTGTTCAAAAGAAAAGGCTGAGACCAAGAGTAAGACGATAGAAAGTGAATCCAGTTTTAACAGGAAGCATTTTCTTTGTTCAGAAAGGTGACGGCATCCTAAGTGTTTAGAATTCTGACCCTTGCGTAGCACTGAACCTGGGAAAGGATTTCGATTCCGAATTTACCTTTGATAACAGGGATTGATTTTAAAATGTCCTCGTATTAAATTACACTTGGAACTGAAGGTCTGTTTGCTGTTGCTGATTTGATTCTTGATCTGTAGTTTATTTCAGAAAGCCTTTCATTTAGCTTTAATTTGAGCAAAGCGGGTTATGATGACTGACTTCCCCAATATCTTGTTTGAGTCTCTGAGTGATGACCTAACTTGGATGAGTTTGGGGAATTGAAAGGGAAAGAACACACTGTTAACACTATTTTCCTAATTGTGGGAAGAGTTTAGAAACTGGAAATGCTCGATTTGGGCAAAGGGAAGACAGTAAGGGACTGACATACTTGTGCAGTAATTTGGCATGTGGGCTTCTTTTTGAATATTTCATTAAAATCTGGGATTCTATATCTGACAGGTTTTCACACTTGAACCATAGTTACTGTAAAAAGCAAAAATTCTTAATACTGTTATTCTTTGCACTTTTTTCTTAATCATTTTATATATATATATATATATACATATATATATGTTGCTTACATTGCTTTGTACAGATGTGGGCCACCACTGCAACAAAATACATTCTTTTTGCTCTAAGATATTTATAATGAAAATATTTAAATGTTATGTATATGGTGGTGAAAAGGAAAAAATAATCCGGTGTTGTTATAAGCAAGAATGAAGGTTTCTGTAAAGATTTCTGTTCAGTGTTCTGCAATGTCAAATTCGAGGCAAGTTCTCTCTGAAGTTATGTGTATTCTTCCCAACTTGCCTTTGAAGAGTGAAAAACCACTGTCATCAAGTAGACTACTATTCAGCTTCTACTGTTCTGGCCCACTGTTGATCCTTCAAGGATGATTTCCTTAGATTTTTTTCAATATGTGAATTGTTTTCCCATTTGGAATGGTGATTTTAAATATGTGAATGCATGCATACTCCAATGTTTGCACGCCCGCCCATTCCCATCTCCTGAAAGCTAGAACACTGCCAACTAATCTGTTGTATAGGTCCTTTAGAAACATGGAATTAACAAAGTTGGGTGCTGCTAATTCTTTGCGAAAATCCAAATATTGTTAAGGGACCAGGGAGATGCCACTACCCCCTGATTTTTCATCAGAAAAAAAAAAAAGTACATGGTTATATAAACCGATCTTTCCATATTCATAGTGACTTTTTAAGTATTTGAGCCTAAAGATTTTAATCCTACATTTTTATACCTGTTTAAATTGTTCACTGTTGTTATGACATGTCAGCCATCAAATGAAGTTGTACTTTAAAAATTTACTACAATTCTATACATTTCTAAGTCAAACACTTGTGACTTTTGCTTTACTGACATGAAAGTATCTTGCCTCCTTGATACTCGTATTGCTTTCTTTTTTTTTTTTTTCCTAGAGCAGAGGTATCATTGTATAGCTTTTCAGAACTGAGATACAGGTGAATGATTCAAAGAGTCAGAAGTTAAGGAGAGTAATGTTTCTTTCGGGCATAAAGACTGATTAATAATAATCCTTGCCTATGTTTTCCTGATAGCACATGACAAATGTCTCTGAGGTGACAGGATGAGAACAGGTTAATGATTGTGTGGTATTTGGAACTCCAGAGGAATATTTTAATTTTCAAATGTAGTTACAAATTAGAATGTATTCATATTTTGTACTTTCTGTTAAAATGCATGATCATGGGATTGTTACTTCGATTTTTGTGTTTATTCCTAATGAAAAGCTTGATTTGTTCTTGTTTTTAAGTTTGCACTCGAATCTTAAATAAATCCACCCATGTTATCAAGCTGAATTTTTGCCTAATTGATGCGCCAACATAAAACCTACAGGTTTGAAGACTATTAGCCAGACTTTATTTCTTCATTCATTTTAAATTAGGTGATTTTTAAAGTTTAGTTATTTAAGTAAGCGCTACACCCAACCAATGGGGCTCAAACTCACAACCTGTGATCAAGAGTCGCACGTTCCTCCAATGGAGCCAGCCAGTCACCCCTAATTAGCCAGCATTTTATTTTTTTGAAGATTTTATTTATTTGAGACAGTGCGTGTGGGAGCACGAGCCAAGGGGAGCAGGAGGGGTAGAGGGAGAAGCAGGCTCCCCGCTGAGCAGGGAGCCTGATGCGGGACTCGATCCCGGGACCCTGGGCTCATGACCTGAGTCCAAAGGCAGACGTTTAACTGACTGAGCCACCCAGGCGCCCCTTAGCCAGACTTTTAAACACATATTTCAAAAGTATTCGTCTGTAGGTTTAATGGAATTGCACTGAGCAGTTAACCTGGCCTATATACATCCCATCCATTCGTTCGGAGCGTTTGAACCCAAAGCTGTTAAGTTGATACAGTTAAGAGAGTAGAACTCTTTGCAACACTGATATTGTGGAATAAAACATAGTCCTGTTGTGTGGATCATTAGGAGGTGCTACTAAATGGAAACTGTCACCTTTAGGCTACCGAAAATTTAGGGAGAAGTCCATTTATCTGAGTTCCATGTGGGTGTATATTAAATAGTGTTAGAGCCCAGGAACCGGACTGCCTCAGTCTATTTTCTGGCTCTGCCCCTCACTCGCTGTACGACTGTGAGCAAGTTCATGAACACCCGTCCCCTGCATTTTTCCATCTGAACGAATGGGGTTGATTGATCTTAGGATCGACCCCACCGGGTTGTCACGAGGATTAAAACGCATTAGTCCATGTAAAGTGTTTGGATCAGGGTAAGCCCATGTTAGCCAGCATCATCATTAGTGTAGCTACACGATCGTCATCAGCGAAGTGGTTGCAAGTATTGCTTAGCACACTGAGGGCTTTGAGACTTTAAGGCTTGCTGGTCCCTGAAGACTGTGGAGGGTTCTGGATATAGAGGTGAGGAGGCCTGGCTCATTCTATCACTAGCTTTGTAACCCTGGACAAATCTCATGATACCCTCCTAGCCTCAGTTTCTTCTTGCTGTATTAAATAAATAAATAAAAAGACCGAACTTCAAAGAAGATACCCTTTGCAAAAAGGGAAAGGCAAACGACAGAATAGGGAGTGTACTGTAATGTTGCCTATAGGGTTGAGCACATCTAGCTTTCCATTGTGACTGCACCGTCCCAAGGTGGTTTGTTAATGCCGCCCTAGGTCCCGAAGTTTCCTAGAAGGATATGAGGCTGTGGATGATGCCATCACAAGAAGTGAGGATTCTCCTGGGTATAAGGAGTCTGCCACTCTCTTGTTCTCTCTCTTTAAAAAAAAAAATCAGGGTTCTGCCCACATAATTTAAAGAAGTGCTTTCAAAAAATTTTTTTTTTACTGTGACTCACGATGCTGTGCCCACACACTGACGTGGATGTGTAACAGTATTCTGTGACCCTGTTTATGTGAAAAAAAAAAAACAAACCCACTATGAGATGCTCACCGGCTTTCTATATCTAGTTCATTTATTGAAATGCTGGTTGTGACCCTCCCAACTGATTTCACGGCCCTGCAAATGAGTGCTGTCCAATAGAGCTTTCTGCGAATTTAGAAATGTCCTGGATGTCTCCTTACCCTTCCAGTAGCCAATAGCCAACGTGTGGCTGTTGAGAATTTGAAGGATGGTTAGTGTGACTGAGAAACTGAATCTTTAATTTCATCCTCCTGTTAGCACGCCTCCAGGGAATTTGCAAACCACAGTTTGGAAAAAACAGGTTGTTCTTTTAAAAGATTTTATTTATCTGAGAGAGAGAGCACGAGCAGGAGAGGGGCAGAGGGAGAAGGAGAAGCAGACTCCCCACTAAGTAGAGAGCCCGACGGCGGGGCTCGATCCCAGGACCCTGAGGTCATGACCTGAGCAGAAGGCAGACGCTTAACCAACTGAGCCACACAGGTGCCCCGCTTAGTTTTCTATGTACGTATTTAACCCCAGACTCTCCACCAGTAGTCCAAACCTCCTTTCAAGATTTGCAGATAGTAAGAATTGGAACAATTCTTCATCTCTGCAAGAAGTATCTCCTAGAGCCTTCTGATCAATCTCAAGCTAGATCATTCACCTTCCTTAACCGTAGGATTATCCCTCCATTATGTTAGACTCTAACTTCACTCTCATTCTGAGAGTTCCTTTCACCTTTATCCTGTGTTGCACTTCCTGTTTCCTGTATCCCATGTCTCTTTCCTACTTGGATCATTCCCTCTTACTGATGGAACGCATCCTACCATAGCTTACTGAGAAGGGATATGTGGGAGGCACATGTGAGACCTTTAATTGATCATTTGCTTGGGTGTAGAATTCTAGATGGAAAACTTCCCCTCCATGCTGAAAGCATTATTCCACTGACATGATTAAGCTTCCAGTGTTAGTTTGGGCAGTTCAAAGCCATTCTGATTTCTCCCGTCCCTTCTATAAGACTTGATTTTCCTCTCCGAAGCTCATAAGGATCTCTCTGTTCTCTGAAATCTCACGATGATATGCTTTGGGGTGGGTATGTTTTCATCCGTTGTGCTAGGCCATTTCAACCCAGAAACCCATGTTCATCTGTTCTGGGAAATTTTCTTGAATTATTTAATTGATTTCTTTCTGTCTTTGTTCTCTCTCTCACTTCCATTATCCAAATGATGAATCATTGGGCTGATCCTTTAATATTCGTTTTGTTCCCATTTTTCATCCTTTAAAAAATTCTATCTTCTGGGAGATTTCCTCTACTCGCATTTCTTTTTTTTAATTTTTTTATTGTTATGTTAATCACCATACATTACATCATTCGTTCTTGAGGTAGTGTTCCATGATTCATTGTTTGTGCATAACACCCAGGGCTCCACGCAGAACGTGCCCTCCTTAATACCCATCACCAGGCTAACCCATCCCCCCACCCCCCTCCCCTCTAGAACCCTCAGTTTGTTTCTCAGAGTCCATCGTCTCTCACGGTTCGTCTCCTGAATTTTTTATTTCTGCCATCGTGTTTACAATTTCGAAGAGCTGGGTTTGTTTGTTTGTTTGTTTTCTATATGTTCCTTTTTTGAAGCTTTCTGTTGTTGAGCGGTAGTTTGTAAGTTTTTCTTTTTAAGCTTTCTTTCCTCTGCAAAGCCAATTTCCTTAATTTGCTTTTTTTTTTTTTTCCTGCTTGCTTTTGTCTCCATTCTTTAAAGGTTTGGTAATCCTTGCCTGCTCACTTAAGAAGAAAGTACTAGAAAGCTGACTGGAAGGTCCAAGAGTGTGGCCGGAGCTTATTTAAAGAGTTTTGCAATAAGGTGATTTTGGCTGGGCCATTTGGCAAACCCCACAGCCGTGTCTGTGGAGTTTCCTTGTAGGGCCAGTCTTATTCCGAGAAGTCTCTGCCAGTTTCTTGTATGGAGTGTTCTTGGGCAACACGTACAAGAAGGTGGGGGTGGGGGTGGTTGTTTCTACATTCATCACACATACAATTGCTTCATTACCCTGTTTTTTACACAGTACCCCTGTGCTGTGCCCAGTGTCCCCTGTTCTTTCTGCTTCAATGTTCTGCTGTGGTGACATGAGGGGCGATCATCACCCCAGCAGGTATGGGTAAGGCAAGTGGTTAATGGATCCATAGTGGTGGTGGTGGGGGGGTTCCTAAAAACAGCTGCCTCAGGGGTGCCTGGGAAGCTCAGTTGGTTAAGCGTCTGCCTTCGGCTCAGGTCATGATCCTGGGGTCCTGGGATCGAGCCCCGCATCAGGCTCCCTGCTCAGCGGGGGGAGTCGGCTTCTCCCTCTCCTTCTGCCCCCCCCCCCCCCCCCCGGCTCATGTACTCTCTCACTCTCTCTCTCATATAAATAAATAAATAAATACAATCTTTAAAAAAAAAAACTCACAAGGAGGACACAAACAGTCTGTAACAACAGCTTTCAACCAGTCCCGATTTGGGCTCCAGCCTCTCTACCTCCCCTTTTTTATTAAAAGATTTATCTTAGGTGGGGGAGGGGCAGGGTGAGAGAGAGGTGTTTTTTTTTTTTTTTAAGATTTTACTTATTTACTTGACAGAGAGAGAGAGAGAGAGAACAAGTGGGGGAAGAGGCAGAGGGAGAAGCAGACTCTCCACTAAGGGAGCCCAATGCAGGACTCGATCCCAGGACCCTGGGATCATGACCTGAGCCGAAGGCAGATGCTTAACCAACTGAGCCACCCAGGTGCCTCAAGCGAGAGAGAGAGTCTTAAGCCGACTCCACACTGAGTGCAGAGCCCAATGGGGGGCTAGATGCAGGGCTTGATCTCAGGACCCTGAGATCACAACATGAGCCGAAATCAAGAGTCAGACGCTTAACCGACTGAGCCACCCAGGCGCCCCTGTCCTGTATCTTTTTCTTAGGAGCATCCTGAGTAGGGTCAAGCATGCCTGGCACAGGCAGGTAAGATGGAGAGTATAGTGCAGACGTTTGGGTACGTTGGGGGTGAAAAAGATGAACCAATTAGGTTCATCATATTCTGTCCAGAATGTGCTATAATCCTCAGAAGGATCAGTCTTTGGAACAAGTGTGTTTAGGTAAGGGTGCAGGAAAGCCCGAGACTCAGGTAATGGGGAGCGTCTTTGTGGGCCCAACTGGAAACGAGCAGTTATAGAATAACTATTTATAATAATAACTATTTATAAAATAAACAGAATCTTAAAAAAAAAAAAAACCTGCCAAACTCTTGTATACCACTATAAATGGGTACAGCCACAGTGGCAAACAGTATGGAGTTTCCTCAAAAAGGTAAAAAATAGAGCTACCATATGATCCAGCAATTCCACTTCTGGGTATTTATCTGAAGTGGAATTCAGGTGGCTGGGTGGAATTCAGGAATATCTGGGTGGCTGTGAAGCAAGGGGACAAGAC